AACGCAGAGAGATGCTGCGGCAGCTGCAAAAGCGAGGCTTTCCTTTTTGGATTTACCTTCCACAAGGGCAACTGCAAAAGCAGCGGTAAAAGTGTCCCCGGCACCAGTTGTGTCAACGACTTTCTCAGCCTTGACGATGGGCTGTCTAATTGGTTCCTCCTCCCCTCTACAAAACAGAGCCGATCCTTTGTCCCCAAGTTTCACAAGAACTTGGTTAACACCCTGTAACAAAAAATGATACATTCTTGTAAAATCTAAACTGATTAAACGGTCTCCATAAACAATTCCTGGAAAAGGGAAAACTCTTTTTAGGACAATGGTTGCATGGAGGATTCCAATTCTTGTGCCCACCACAACTATAAATGTAGTTATTATTGTTGCACCCTTTCATAGTCACAAGAAAACTACAGCTACTGTTCAGTACTAAAAACTAGGGAGTAATTAAAAAAATATAGCGTCAAATCTTATCGAAAAAGTCTGAAACTTCCTCATATGAAAAAGGTTTACATTTTGGACATGTAAGGTCATGTTGGACATTTCATAGTTAGGAATAAAAAGAAGGGATGGGAGTTAAATGTTTAGAACCAACACCACAGAGACACACCAATTTGAGTTCAGAACCAACACAATGAATGGCATGTTTGTTTTTGCAATGAGCGGTATCTCCTTTGAAAAAAAATAGCCTTTTTGGTGAAACTCCAATCAACAAATAGGGCCCTTGTATGAGAATGCGTAGACATTGATTAAGATGATCGCATTAATAAAAAGATGCAGAATAGTGAACTGACCAAGTCGTGGCATTTTTGCACAGCATGCCTGATTTGTTCAAAATTTTCAGTTGGCATTTCGGTTAACCGAGCAAGTTCAGTCTCATTTGGGCTGAAAACGTCAACCACACGAAGAAGATCTGAAGGGATTGGAGCATCCACACCACCAGCATCCAGAATAATTGGAACCCGTGCACTCCTAGCAGCCTGTTATCGATCTTCTCACGGTAAAATAGCAACCAAAGCAAACAAAGAAGGGAAAAGTCTATACTTTTTACAATAGGAAGGCTCTGTTTGACAACCAGTTAGACATTTGAGTCATAGATTTTTGTGTCACTTGTTTAGAAGAAGATTGTGGCAAGAAGATGCTAACAAATATGAAAAGAAATGAAGTAGACTCATGGGTCATCCATTTTTTGGGGGGTGAGGGAGGAAGGGGTTTAGATTGAACAAAAACACCCCAGTGTGCTAATAAGAAAGATTTATATTCATATTTTTGTATTCCAACAACATGCATAATGTATTATTTCTGGCCAAATTCCTTATTTAATTCCATTCTTGGTAAATAAGGACTGACTATTGACTAACCTTTGCAACTTGAATGTTGACAGAATCAGGAATTTCCCTCTGGAGCAGAAGAACCCCAGCATTCCTCACCACTTCCAAGTCCTCATCCGCCAAAACCTCCGGCCAACAAGACATGTTGGTGCCCCCAACAATGATGATCGAGTTCTGACCATTGGCTTGGAGCATCACCACCGCGTGGCCAGTGGGTGCATCCGCCACAACCCGGAGGCGGTCTAGCAGCACGCCGCCACTCTCAAGTGCCTCGGAGATCAACTTCCCGTGAGCATCCTCCCCCACCTGCCCCATAAAGTAGGTCGGGTGCCCTAATTTCCCGCCGCAAGCGGCCTGGTTCGCCCCCTTCCCCCCGGCCATGGTCTGGCCGCTCTTGGCTGAGATGGTCTCCCCTTCCTGCGGCAGCCTGTCGATCTCCACGTAGATGTCTGCATTGGCCGATCCAACCACCACCAACGGCTTTAGCTCGCCGGATCTCAAAGCGAGGCAACAAATCGGCGGTTTCCTCTTCTTCTGTTTTCTTGACGGCGGATTAGGTTTGATGATGGCCAGTTGAAGAGGAACTTTCCTGAGACTTGTGGCGACATTCATAGGCGCCGGATGCCATTTTTGACATTGAGAAAACGTTGAGATGCCTATCATCTTCCGTGTTATCTACTTCTCCTATTCTCTTCCGTATTAACTAATCCAACTCTCTTCCTTGTGGTGGGGTATCTCAAACTCTCTTCCGTATTAACTAACTAATCCAACTCTCTTACTAGTTACCCATGGAAAAGAACTCTACCAAATGAAAAGCACGGAGCTTAAGAGCACCAAGAATAATGCAAATACTTTCCCTGTCCTTAAAAACGTTCTTTTCGTTTCTATTTTAAGGTTTGACCTACTTTATTTTCAATTCAATTTCATTTATTATAGGCGTAAAATTTAAAAATAAAATTTAAAAATTTAAAAGTTACATTAAAAGTTCTACAAAACAAGACATGACAAAACTATATTATTTTATCAAATAACCAACGAAAATAGGTAAAGAAAGTAATTAAAGTTTGACCTTTTGAGTGGTAACTGAGAAGAACGTTTTAGGACGGAGAGAGTATTAATTAGCTGTATTGAGCTTCAAAATTACAACGGAATCTCACCTCTATTTATAGGTACAGTACTCGAATCATACAAGGGAAGTGCTAAAGATGACAGTTCAATCATGGTCTGGTCTTCCTCCGCCATTGGCGCTAATCCAAGCAATCCTTTTTTATCTACGATTGACTGCAGTCAATTACGAAAAGGACGAGATTGCCTTGACTAACAACGCGACGGAGATGGCCCATGGCTCTGGGATCAGTCTTGGTGCATTGAGCTTCGAAGAAGAAGTGGATCATAGAGACTATTGGGCCTACGCCTGACTTGAGTTACTTGGGTGTTGGGCTGGGCCAAAATCGGATGGCCCAAGAGCCCATCATAGACGCCCCACTCCTCAGGGCTAAAATGGGTTGTTTAAGGAATGAGGAGTATGTGATCATTGCTCAACCACTCTTTCTTGGCCCCGCACACGCGTCTCTCAAGTAGTGCCCCTTGTTAACCGCACCATAGTCATCCCGTCTCTTTGACAGATGGGTTATGCATGATCTCCACCAAACCCATCATTGTTGACTTTGTTGTCGTTTAACTCCTGGCTCCCCACGATAAAGTTTCAACCACCGCCATTTTTCACACCCTTAACCGAGGATCATTTCCGATCAAGCATACAGTCTCCCTTCGTTCATCCTCTGCTAATTTCTTGTTAGGATTCTTTTTTTCTTGATTCCCATGTCGTTCTCTGATCTAGTGTCTTCTACTCCTTTGAACGATTCAACCCCTCAAGGGGAGGAAAACCAACCCCATATCGGGAAAAATTTTGATCCTGACCCTTCTTCAAAGCCTAGTTCGCCGTTGACGGTGGTTCCCCTTCGGTCGACCACCAAACAACATGGCCTCGTCGTCCCTTGTCTCTCTTTCTCTCCAAAAAATTATGAGTGTGCTTAATAGTTGTTGTCCCTGATTATCACTCTCTCTCTCCAAAAACACTTAGCAAACAAACTCTCGAACTTATTCGTCATGCACTCAACAAAGATTCGATAGGAACTTAGCAAACACATCCTCAAAAAATTTAAAAACTTTTTAAATTTTACAAATCATATTCAAAATTTAATAGAAACAAGAGAAATGCTATTAGAGTCACAAATAAAATGGTCACAAAATTTACAAATTTTTCATTGGTAAATATAAATTTTTATTTTTTACTTATTTAAGGTTATTTTGAATATTCACAGGTTTTTAAGAAGTTTGTGAAGTCTGAGAGTATTTTTTTTAACTTAAGCATTTTTCTAGAACAAAGTTAGAATGACTTTGAAACTTGGAAGATGCTTTTAATCTAAAAAAAATCATTAGAAAAGATGCTTTTAATATAGAAAAAAAATAAACTCAAAATTTTGAATGTTTATGCATTAATTTTTTTTTGAAGCAAGTTTATGAATTAATTTGATTTAGGAAAAAAATAAAAATATCCTAGCCTAGCCGGACAGAGGACTATCTTACAGCGTGTTTGGTTTGAGGTAGGTGGAGGTAGGGTGAGGTAAATTTTACACCCTATCTTGTTTGGGAGATAATATTGAAGTGGGTCAGAGGAGGGGAAGGGAGGTAACCTTACCTCCTAACAGTACAAATCTCCCTACCGTCGATTTGGCGAAACATCGCGGTCAATATTTCCATTCCCTTTGCTGCCCTTCTAATTTTTTCTCGAAGCGCCGCTAGCTGCTTGCTAGCCACTCCAAAAAATCCAATCGCAGAGCAGGTTCTTCCTCTCCCTTCATCTTCCAACTTCCAACTCTTGGTTTATTATTATTTTTGCTAACAATTGTAAATTGCCTTTTCCCCCTGTTTTATTTTTTATTTTTAACTTTTTTTCTAATTTCTTTTCTGCTGCTGATTTTTTGGTATTTTTGTTCTATTTTTTTCGATTTTTTGTTTTTGCTTTCTTTTCGTTTTTTCTGTGTTGTGGTGTTTTTTTTAATTTGTTTTTCCCGGTTGTTTTATATGTTTTTTTTCATATTGTTGAAGCAGCATGGTTTGATTAATTTCTGTTTTTTGGTTTATTGCTGATTTTTTTGTTATTTATATAAATATGCTGATGGGTGTATTTCACCCACGACCGGTCAAAGGACTGGACCAGATAGTTGACCGGGCAAAGAGGTAAAACTTGGAAGAAGGATTTGAATCGTCAGCCAGGAGGATAAAGGGTTGGCCGAAAGGTTGACCGGTATACTTTGAATGGTATACCGGTCGAAATATCCCATTGTCTAAATTTATCCTTCGAAGTTAACCAAGCCAACCCTCAAGGATCACCCGGTCTAGTTTCCGAAGATTGGAGAGTGTCGGCAGGAAGAGTCCAAAAGGACTTGGACTGTAGTGGTTGGCATTGCTGGGGAATCAGTGCAGATGCCGAAGGCATTTTTCCAAGCCAGAACGCGACAAGGGAAGTGATTCCCCTCACAAGGCAACAGGGCAGCTCAAGGACGAAAGCCAGTCACCTCGCACCACATCAGCAGCGTGCCCCCACGTGGGCGCACGTGATCTTGTCCCCCTTAGCCTAGTATAAATACTCGTGTAAACCTCAGAAAGAGGGATCCGAATTCACTCTCTCTAAACTCCCTTGTAAAAGTGACCGTGCATTCTCTGTTATAATAGAAATCGGGCTACAGGTATTCCACTTAAAGTCCTACCGGTCATTCTGAGTGTTTTTACTTTCTTTACTTTACTGAATCAAGCCAACTATTCTAGACCCGGTCTAGTATAGTTTGACCGGTCAAGTAATTTACACCATCATTTTTGGCGCCGACCGTGGGACCGTTAAGGTTTCTTCTCTTCTAAACACAAACCTACCCACAAAAACACCACTCAAAATGTCTTCCATTCAACAAATCAACGCTACTTCCACTCAGATGCAAACCACTGCTGAGGGAGCCAGTATCCCCATGGTTGCTACCCTACCGGCTATTTCCACCCCGGTGCTGCCGTTGGGTCTGAGCTTAGTCCCAACACCTAGCGTGGTCAGCCCATTCACGACCCCCGTCCATTCCGCTGGGCCGAGGGTCACATTCCCACCGAGCATGACTCAGTTCATGAACGATCCGGCCAACCTGCAGGCCATCCTGGGCTTTGGCCAGGTCATGGCCATGTGCCAGCAGAATGGGGGGATGCAATTTCTCCCTGGTATGTTCCTGTTCGCTCTTCCAGGCGCGGGAACCATGCCCCTACAAGCTCCAATGGCGATGTCTCCCTTCCAGACGCCGGTACCGCAGCCAGCACCGTAGCCCCTGTCAACCTGACTGGCGCGCTTAATGCTGCAGGGCCGTCGTGTCCCCCGCAAGGTACGAATCCACAGATTACCCCTGATGGTCACTGCGTCTCAGTTGAGAGCGGAGACGAGGAGTGGGACATCCCGAGGGCCCACAAGAAGAAGAAGGGAAAAACTATCCGCCCAGCAATTTCCCGAAACTCCGCCTTCGAAAGGCTGGGGGACAGAGAGGAAGGCCAGAGAAAGTCAGCCAAGCTGAGGCTGGGGCAAAGCGTTGCTCATGTCAGCGCGTTCGCCCGATTAGGCGAGGGGAGGGAGGCCGAGCCTGCCCGTACCCTGAGCTCCTGGTCTAACCGGCAGGAGCCAGCAAGGACGAGGGCCTCTCGTCAAGAAGAAGAAGCAGAAAGCCAGCCTAGGGTGCCGGTGGCTAACCGGTTAACCATCCCGAATGACCGCGTCCAACAGACGGAGGCAAAACTGGAAAGGTTGGAGAAGAAGGTCGGGGAGAAGAATGACCGGGACAAACCCCTTGCAGGGTCCCCGTTCACCACAAGGGTCCATCTGACACCTTTCCCGCGAAAGGTCAAGATCGATGCCCCTAGGTTCACCGGGAAGGAGGATCCAGAAATCCACCTGGATTCTTTCAATCAAAGTGCAACCATGAACGGTTGCACAGACGAAGAAAAGTGTCTGCTTTTCTTCCAAACCCTGCGGAATCGGGCTATTGAATGGTTCAATAAACTTCGCCCGGGAAGTATTGATTCATTTAGTGACTTGGCCTCAAAATTCAAGGCCAAGTTCCAGGAGAACTGTACTAAGAGGAAGAAATTCACCTATCATAGTACAGCCGGGCAGAGGGAATCTGAGAACCTCACTCAATTCCTTACCCGGTGGAAGGAAGAGGTAGACAAGGTGGAAGAGATGGATGACAAAACCGTCTTGTCCCTTCTCTTGAATGGCCTACGTGCCAGGGAACTATACAAGGAATTTTGCCGGAAACCCCTGGCCACGTATCAGGAAGCCTACCACACTGCATGGGAGTTTGCTGAGGCTGAAACTCAACTCCGGGCGAAGAAAGAGGCTGAGCATGGCTACAAACCCAAACCGGTGCCAGTCAAGAAGGAAGAAGCACCGGTACCCAACCGGCCAAGGCACCACTATGACCCGGTAGTCCGAGTGGTCAACACAGAAGAATGCCAGGAGGTAAGGAAAGCACCAGCTTCCTTCCCGGTCAATCCTCCGGAAGATCCTACCGGTCAACTGGGACGACAATGGTCGGGCACGTATTGTTTGTACCATAGGTCAGATTCCCATAACACTTCCAAATGCAAGAGTGTTAAGGGAGTCATCCGACAAATGATAGACAGCGGGGAGCTTGGCAAGGATTATTTGCAGAAGGCCCAGGAGAAGAGCCACCAGTGGGTTAGGCCAGCAGCCCAAGGGAATGACCGGGACAACGACCGGCGAAGGAATAACCGGCCGAGGGAGCAACAACCTGCCCCTGAGAAAGAGCATATCGAAATGATCTTTGGCGGGCCTGAAGGTGGAGATTCAGCCGCGCAGCGGAAGAACTGGGTCCGGAGTATTTACGTTGGTGAGGTAAGTGCTGAACCGGCCAGGCGTAAGCATACTCGGAGGGAGCCGATCGTCTTTACTGACCGGGATCTCCCTCCTACCGGTGAAGATCACAATGATCCATTGGTCATCACCATGGACATTAATGGGGTGGATGTCGCTCGGGTACTTGTTGACACCGGCAGCAGTGTCAACATCTTATACCTGGAGACTTTCCAAAAACTCAGGTTGTGTCGGACACAACTTGAACCCCTCAAAACCCCTCTCTCAGGCTTCACGGGAGACACCGTTGAAGCTGAAGGATCCATAGTTCTACCGGTCGAACTAGGATCAGGGGAGAAGACCGTGTGGAAGAAGATGCGGTTCATCGTTGTGGACATTAAATGCGTCCACAACGCAATTCTTGGAAGGCCAGGCATCAATAGAGTTGGGGCGGTGATTTCCATGCCTCATCTATGCATGAAGTTCCACACTCCAGGTGGTGTGGGTGAGGTGAAGGGTGACCAGAGGAATGCCCGGGAGTGCTATGCCCGGGCAGTCAAGAAGATGACCAAGGGGGTCAACGTCATCTCCCAGGAAATCACCAAGGGAGAGACCCGGGAGAAGTTGGAGCCAGAAGCAGAAACGGTGGAGATTGAACTTCACCCGGGTGATTCATCAAGGATGGTCAGAATTGGAGCAAACCTCCCCGAAGATCTCAAGGCAGAGATTACACGGATTCTCCAAGAATACGCAGGCATATTTGCATGGAGCATGGCAGATATGCATGGGATTGACCGCTCAATCATCTGTCACCGGCTGGCAGTAAGGGATGGAAGTCGACCGGTACGCCAGAAGAAGAGGTACCTGGCCAGTGACCGGCGAGACTTCGTCAAGAAAGAGGTGAAGGATCTCCTTAGTGTTGGTCACATCCGGGAAGTTAAGTACCCGGATTGGCTGGCCAACGTTGTCCTTGCTCCCAAGGGCGACACGTGGAGGATGTGTGTGGATTATACGGACTTAAACAAGGCTTGTCCGATGGATTCATACCCCCTACCTAGTCCAGATCAGATGGTGGACGAAACTGCGGGGTGCGAACTCCTAAGTTTCATGGATGCCTTCAAGGGCTACCATCAAATCTACATGGCCAAGGAGGATGAGGAGAAGACGTCATTCCTCACACCCGAAGGAACCTACTGTTACCAGGTGATGGCGTTTGGCTTGAAGAACTCGGGGGCAACTTACCAGCGCATGGTGAACAAGCTCTTCAAGCCGTTGCTGGAAAGACCATGGAGGCATACGTCGACGACATGCTGATCAAAAGCTAGGTATCTCTCAACCACCCGGCTGATATGCGCGCCACATTTGATATCATGGCAAGATACAACCTCCGATTGAACCCCAAGAAATGCGTCTTCGCGGTTCGCACCAGGAAGTTCTTGGGATTCATGGTGACCAAGAGAGGAATAGAGCCCAACCCAGAAAAAATTCGGGCTATCACTGAAATGCAAGCCCCTTTCTCGGTTAGGGATGTGCAAAAGTTGACCAGTCGTCTAGCGGCCCTCAGCCGGTTCCTTTCCGGGTCAGCTGAGAGATCCCTGCCCTTCTTCAAAGTCCTGAAGAAGGCCAACACGTTTGCATGGGATGAAGACTGCCAGAGGGCATTTGAGGAGCTGAAGAAGTACCTAGTGTCAGATATTGTATTGTCTAAACCCGAACCGGGTGAAACTCTGTATCTGTACCTGGGAATTTCCCCAAATGCTGTAAGTTTCGTTTTAATAAGAGATGATGGGGCACAAAAGCCCATTTATTATGTGAGCAAAGCACTAAACGGAGCAGAAAGTAGATACACGGCGATGGAAAAAACAGCCTACGCGCTTTTCATCTCCGCAAAGAAGTTAACATCTTACTTCCAAGCTCACCCGGTAGAAGTCTTGACTGACCAACCGCTGGGTGCAGTATTGCGAAATTCAACATCCTCCGGAAGGATGGTGAAGTGGGCGATGATGTTAACTTAATTCAACATTGAGTACCGGCCGAGATCAGCAATCAAAGGGAAGGCCCTTGCGGACTTCCTTGTGGAAATGACCGGTATAACTCCAGATGCACCGGTCGACAAGCCTACCGAGCAATGGTGGGAGATGGCAGTAGATGGGGCATCCGGTCCTAAAGGGTACGGGGGTGGTATAGTGTTTACCACCCCAGAAGGGTTCAAGATCTACCATGCAATCGTCTTCAACTTCAAGCTAACGAATAATGAAGCAGAATATGAAGCTCTAGCTGGAGGGCTCAGACTTGCCCTAGCCCTGAAAATCAGCCGGGTCAGTATCAAATCTGACTCTAGTCTGATTGTGGGGCAAGTGACCGGTAATATGGAGGCTAGAGAAGGACGAATGGCGCAATACAAGGACCTGGTACTTGCCTTGTTAAAAAGCTTCAAGGAATTCAAGATTGCCCAAATCCCCCGGGCGGAAAATGCGGATGCAGACCTTCTCTCCAAATTGAAGCAATATGCTCCCGAGCATGTTTCAAAACTTGCCCGGGTGGAAATCCTGCCAGCATCGAAAAATTGGAAGTCGCCGCCATAACAGCAGCAGGCCAATCTGACCGGTCAAACCTGGTCGGGGCGGATGACGATTGGATGTACGATCTAATGGAATATTTGATGGATGGGAGCTTGCCAGAACAAGATGACCGGGCAAGAAAAGTGAAGCTCCGGGCACCTCGGTTCCAAGTCCTTGATGGGAAACTGTACAAGAGGGCGTTTGGGGGACCCCTACTGAGATGCCTAACCAACCGGGAAGCTGAGCGAGTCATAGCCAAAGTTCATGAAGGCGTGTGTGCGGCGCATCAAATGTTCCGTACGCTTTCCCAACGCATCATCTTGTTGGGGTATTACTGGCCAACAATTGTCCAGGATTGTGAGAGGTACGTTTAGAAATGTAGAACGTGCCAAGTATTCTACAAGTACCCTGGTAGGCCAGCAACCTACTATCACCCCGTATCGAATGTCATCCCATTCACTAGATTCAGGGTTGATATCATTGGAGCATTCCCGATTGCCCAAGGAAGGAAGAAGTTCGTGATCGTGGCCATCGACTACTTCACCAAATGGATCGAAGCCGAAGCATTGGCCAACATTACCACGCAACAATGCAAAAAATTCATTTGGAAGAACATCATCACAAGGTTTGGAGCTCCCATGAACCTAATCACCGACAACGACCCACAATTCCGAAATCCAAGATTCACCGAATACTTGGAGGGCTTTGGAATTAAGCACAACCGTTCTTCGGTGGCCTACCCCCAAGGAAATGGCTAAGTGGAAAATGCCAACCGAACGATTGTGGACGGTTTGAAGAAGCGGCCGGGAGAAGCAGGAAACAAATGGCTAGAAGAGCTTCCCCACATCATATGGGCATTCCGAGTAACACCCAGAAGGGCTCATGGGGAAACTCCATTCTCCCTAACCTATGGGTGTGAAGCAAGGCTGCCCATCGAAGCTGAATTCCCCACGTTTCGGGAATCAAATTATCAACCACAGCAGAATGAGGAAGATCACTTGGCCGAACTCAACTTGGTCGAAGAGCGGAGAATGGCCGCGGAAGATAAAATGAGCACATATCAACAAGTCGTGAAGAAGTACCGCGACAACAAGGTTGGACCACGATACTTCCAAGTTGGAGATGAAGTCCTACGAAGAAGAGAGGCTAGTAGACCGGGTGATGGGGGGAAGCTGGCCAAGAACTGGGAGGGCCCATACCGGGTGAGAGCCATCATTCGACCGGAAACCTATCGGTTAGAAACTTTGGATGGCATACCGGTGGAGAGGACTTGGAATTCCCATCATCTTCGCAAGTTCTGCAAATGATTGTAACACTAGGCAAGGCCTACTTCTATTAAATAAAGGAAGTTCAGTACTCTACTTGGTAGCGGCGGAATTGATAGGTCGAACCTATCCTAGGAGGGCTTCCCGGGTGGATCGAATCCACTTGGATAAGCCAACTGAGACACAGGCCCGGACCTGGCACGCTGGTTACTACACCCCTTGCTCAGTATAATAGAAAAAATATTAAACCCGGAAGAGGGGCCCGGAATAGGGTATGCCTGCAAGAGGGCTGGACCTGGAAGAAGGTTCAAACCGTACTTACACGGGCCCATGAGGTTTGACCGGTATCGGGGAATCAGCCGGTGCCGTCAAATTGATTGGGGACTAAAAGATGCCCATTAAAAGAAATAGAAGGAGATCGTCCACCGTGGCGCATCCTGTTTCCCCCTTCTCAGGGAAGACTTGAACGGGGGGGTGAGCTAAGGCCTTCCCGGGATAGTAGAAATTAAAGGGCCATTAAAAGACTTAATCACCCAGAAGAGGGGGCCCTGGAAGAAGGGTGCATTTGGACCTTGGAGAGGGTCCGAAACCATTCGACATGGTTAAATCTCCAGTATTCTTACCGGTTAAGGATACTTCAAGAAATTACTAGGTTACAGGTGTTTCCATCTACAACCTACCGGACACACAAAAAAAAAAAAGAAATACCCCAGTTGGGTATTGATACAGCGGTCGACCGGTCGTACCGTGAGGTGGGAACGCGCCGGTCATACTCCACTTCATCGAACGAAGGTACCCAAAAGCCAAAGGGAAGTTCAGCCGGTCAAACTTTTTTAAGTTGACCACTATGATGAAGACATTCAAAAAGCAAAAGTTGAAGTTCAACCGGTTAACTGTAGTTCAACCGGGTTGGATTTAGCGTATTCAAAAACAAGCCAAGAAAGCGAAAATTAAAGTTTGACCGGTCCAAGTTACTCGAGCTGATCCTTCAGATAAAGTGATCAAAGAGAACTTTGAAGTTCTACCGGTCGAAAACAATTGAGGAGTGGCCTGATTTATGTACCGGTCAGAGTTTCTATGATGGTATTCTAAGAAGCAATAACGAAGTATCAATCAAGAAGCAAGCAGATATGGAAGATTAACCGGTACGAAAAACAAACATGGAATTCAACAAAATAAGAAAGTCAAGTGTTTTACAGCTACACCGGGCATTCCCGAGGAAATGAGTTTGAAGTTTTACAAAACGATTCAACCGGTCGCAGCCGGGAAGATTACTCGAGAGGAAAAGGAGGTGTAGGTTCTTCGTCCGGGATGGGGGCCAGTCCATATGATTCAGCATTAAAATCCGGAAACCGTTCAGCAAGGATTGCATGGGTAGCCTCCCGGTCTTGTTTCTGGCCAGACATAAAGCCATAGGAGCTAATCTGGGTGATCATTTCTTTCCCTTGCTCCTCCCGGTACAGCAGCCTAAAGCCCTCCATGGTCCTCTCCTCAGAAGAGGTGAGGATCCGGGCAGCTTCTACTAGATTGTCCTCCATCCACTGGCGGGCCCTACCGGGAAACTCACGCTCCTTGGATTCCAACTCCTCCATCAGCTTCAGGTTCTCTTCCTTCAGCTGGAGAGTCTCTGCCTTGGCCCCCCCGGCAATCGCTGAAAGATTGGCCACCTCATCTAGCTGCCGGGCCGTCAGGTCCTTGAGCTCCCGGTTGTGGGCCTCGGATCTCTTCAACTTCTCTTCCAGCTGGGCCAACCGGGAGGAGGAGTCTTCGGTGAGCCTCTCCAATGTCTCCGGTCAACCTCGCCCATCTGCGAAAAGAAAACATACCGGTTAGCACAAGCGACAGGTAGCAAATTTGAAAAGAACACCGGGCGAATATTACCTCTTTCAGCTTGAGAGTCATCTTGACCCAAAGCTCTTCCATCGACTCTGCACCCGGGGCGTTTTCCCCCCTTCTCCTCTTCGCCGCTGGATGGGTGGTGGCGGTCTTCTTCGTCCTCATCTTCCCCTTTCCCTTATCGAGGGGAGGATTCACCGGGACGTTCCCGGCCTGAGCAGCCCCCTGGTTTGAGGAGTTTCCTCCTCAGAATGGATCTCCACCGGTTCCTGTTAGACCGGTACAGTTTTGGGAGCAGAGGAAGAAGAACCACCAGTTGTCTTTGGCATGTTGAACGCCCTGAAATTCATGTCTGCAAAACAAGCAAAAATATAAATGTTCGAACTTTGACCGGTATAGCAAAAGGAAGAAGAAAGAGGAAGGAAAGGTACCTGGGTGGCTTGGGCCCCCGGCCTCTGCAGTGTTGCCCGGGGCGGGTACCCCGTGCCCCGCTGCTTCATGAGCCATAGGGGTACCCTGGCCACCCGGTTGGATCCGCCAGATCCAAGCCCCGTAATGAAACATTTACCCGGTGAACGGGTCCCCTCAGAGAAGCTTCTCTAAACTCTCTTCCAAGTCTGGGGCGGTGGCCGGCTTGGTATATTGCGGCTTCAGGATGTGGTCATTCCATTGTATGCCGGCCAAAGGAGAAACCGTGGGAAATTTTATGAAAACGAATTTTTCCTTCCACTGCCGGTTGCTTTGTGGAAGGTCAGAAATGAATTGGCAACCGTTACGGCCTTTGAAATAGACATAGCCGTCGCAACCCGACTTACCGGGAAGAACTTCAAACAAGTAGAGGAAAAAACGAAGAGAAGGGTCGATTTTGAGATGGATGCAGATAATTACAAAGGCATTAAGGAAATGGTGGCCATTGGGCGTAATTTGCCTGGGGAAGATCTTGAAACAGTGGCACAACTCGACCAGGAGGGGGCGAAGGGGGAAGACAGTGCCACTCTCTAGGGAGATGATATGGAACCCTAACCTATCATCCTAGTGAGGCTCGATGATGTTGGGCGAGTTGGGGTCGTATTCAAGGACATACCCCTCCGGGAGGTTCCTTCGGGCCTTATTTTGGGCGATCTTGGAAACATGGGGGTAGATGTCTGAAGGGTAACTGGTAGGAAGAGGAAAGTAACCGGCCGTTTCCAACCGGTCCACCCATTCCTCATATGATTCGTTATCAGGGTCATAGGGAGCCGGCTCGTCTTCGACCGGTTCACCCCTCTCTTGAAAAATCTGACCGGGCATCTGGTTTACCAGCCGCGGTTCTGGGATATTGGGCTTGGGAACCGACCGGGGTCCAAGAACGGGTGAAGATGACCCGGTCGACGAAGAGGAAGACGGGGATTCCTCAGATGCGTGGGCATCTGAGGCAGAAATGTCTTGGCTATCGGAAGAAGACATTGGCCGGAAAGAAAAGCGGAGAAAAAAGAAGAAGAAGTCGAGAAAAGGGAAGAGACTTACTTGACTCGGAGGGCTGGAGAGCGAAAGCAAGGACTTGACCGGTAAGAGCTTGAAGGACGCGAGATCGAAAAGTGAAGGAGGAATGGGGTTGGAAGCCTTTATATAGGCGAGGAGAGATGGGAAAGGGGCGACGTGGCTTCACCAGGGCGCGCCATCATTGCGCCTGGGAAGACGAAAGGACGCGGGTCTAACGCCGTCCAGCAGACCACACGTGTCAGAACGGACGCTTTTTGAATTTCGAATTCAAATGTTTTGAGCAGGAAAGGCCAAAATTTCGAAATTTAAAGTCCTGTTTCAGATTTTTACTTCCCACTTATGACACAATTGCATAACCGAGAAGTGGAGGGCTTATTGATGGGTGTATTTCACCCACGACCGGTCAAAGGACTGGACCAGATAGTTGACCGGGCAAAGAGGTAAAACTTGGAAGAAGGATTTGAATCGTCAGCCAGGAGGATAAAGGGTTGACCGAAAGGTTGACCGGTATACTTCGAATGGTATACCGGTCGAACTATCCCATTGTCTAAATTTATCCTTCGAAGTTAACCAAGCCAACCCTCAAGGATCACCCGGTCTAGTTTCTGAAGATTGGAGAGTGTCGGCAGGAAGAGTCCAAAAGGACTTGGACTGTAGTGGTTTGCATTGCTGGGGAATCAGTGCAGATGCCGAAGGCATTTTTCCAAGCCAGAACGCGACAAGGGAAGTGATTCCCCTCACAAGGCGACAGGGCAGCTCAAGGACGAAAGCCAGTCACCTCGCACCACATCAGCAGCGTGCCCCCACGTGGGCGCACGTGGTCTTGTCCCCCTTAGCCTAGTATAAATACTCGTGTAAACCTCAGAAAGAGGGATCCGAATTCACTCTCTCTAAACTCCCTTGTAAAAGTGACCGTGGATTCTCTGTTATAATAGAAATCGGGCTACAGGTATTCCACCTAAAGTCCTACCAGTCATTCTGAGTGTTTTTACTTTCTTTACTTTACTGAATCAAGCCAACTATTCTAGACCCGGTCTAGTATAGTTTGACCGGTCAATTAATTTACACCATCATATGCTATTTTTTTGTATTGTTTTTTCAATGAGCCTTTCCTTGGCGATGGCATTCGGCTTGGTGGATCTGTAGTCAAATACTCCCTCCGTCCCTGAGTATTTGTCCACTTTCATTTTTGCACACCATCCAATGCACTTCTTTAATCTATTTTATCTTGTAATTTGTATATTTAAAAATTATAAAAATTACTCCCTTCGTCCTAAAACTTTCTTCCCAGAGCACTATTCCAACTTCACGGGAATTTATATTTATTTGTGTTTTTTCATGGCCTATATGATAAAATAAAATATTCTTGTCACCACTTGTTTTGTTGAACTTTTGATTTAGTTTTTAAATATGTATGTTTTATTTTTTATTTCTATACCAATATTTAAATAAAATAGATTGAAAAAACTTGGGATTTTTTCTTCGTTTTGCGTAACGGGAAGAAAGATATAGGACGGAGGGAGTATATATTAATAATCTATATGTTAAGACGAATCAAACAAGATCACACATGACTATATTTAGGCTTACACATTGAGAGAATTTGATGAGTCAAAGTGCTTAGATGAACAGTTCCAAAAGTCAAAAGTGGACAAACACTCAGGGACGGACCAAGTACATCCTAAACAAATAAAGAAAAACAACCACAAGGATATTTTAGTAATTTTAATCTTTCCCTACTTCATGTTACCTAATAAACATCCAAACACAATTTTTTAACTCATTACCTTATTTTAGCTACCTTCAATTACCTACCTTCAATTACCTATCATTACCTGCCTAATAAAACTTTTACCTACTTCCAACCAAACATACCAGAATCTGGGTTGAACTGGTTTGGGCGTATGGCTTCTCGGATCATAATAAGCATCCCTAACTCATCATCTCTAACCATTTCGTCAAAATCTCTGAACAGAAATCCTCTGTTTTGTTCCCCTTTTGGATCGTTCAGGGAGCGGAAAAGTAAAGTTTCATTCCCGATTCGGGGCATGGGCTCCTCCTCCTCTTCTTCTTCTTCCAAACCGGACAGCGATCAAGGTACCCTCCATAACTCCATTCCTTGTATCCATAAAATTCTGCTGCTAAAACTTCAGAATCCGACAGTCATCTGGTATCAATGACCTGAAACTTGTGCTGCCGCATTATTTTTACTCATGATTTTCTAGGTTTCCATTAAAAAACCACCATCAGTTCCTCTCACCTTTATGAACTAAGGGTTTGTGTTTTTATGTGTTGCTATTTACTTGTTCTTTTTTTTGTAGAAATCATCCTAAATAGGACTAAAACATAGAGAAAAGTACCAAAATAGGACTTTCATGTTTTTTTCCCGGAATAGGACTTTGCACTGTGGTAATGTGACTTTGCATTGTGGTAATGTGGCAGTGTACATGTGCAAATTACTATACTTTCTTGGTAATGTATATTTTCAATGTTTTAGTCCTACTTTGGTCTTTCTCCCTTTTTTTGTTCCATCTTTTGTTATACTCTCATTGTTCATCTTTTAAAGTGTGATGGTTCTTGTTGGTGATTTTAGTGTCATCTGATTATTTTGGATGATCTTAAAGACCAAACCAGAAATCATACTAAGTAATCCGTGATAAATATTGATATGAGTTAGGAGCGTGTAGTGCATACACGTTCAACCCCAATAGCGAGGTCTGCCCTTGTCCCATTCTTTTTCTTTGAAAGATGTGTTGGTTCGTCCAACTTATATGCCTGGTCGGAATTTCTTTATATGTACCAATGGTATATTTCAGATAGAACATTACGTATTTGTTCTTTAACACTTACGTCTTATCCGATTCAAAGAGTTTTTTGAGTACCACCAAAATTACTAAGTGATTATCATGATTCATAAGCTTATCACCCCATATCCCGTTCTATTTTTTAATGCCTCCATACCCAAAAGTTCCCAACAGTTCTAACTTGATTATATGTTTTCTTGAAACCACGATCTTTTGGAAATAATCTCTTTGCCTCGTACACTTGTCTTCTTCAGATCTTAGTTGTCATCACCTCAAAAAGGAAGCTAATTGTGCTCATAATTGTCTGTGAGGTGTTATGCAGTGGTTAACAAGAAAGATTTTAATTCACTTAGTGTTGAAGAGTGGAAGAAGCGGCTAACAGCACAACAATTTTACGTCACCCGGAAAAAGGGCACCGAGAGGGCTTTCACCGGGTACCATCCCTTTTCTTTCAGTCATGTAATTCAATATTACTTTTGGTTGTTTCCTAGGAGATCTGTTTATACTTCAACTCAAACAGAATCTGCAAAAAAACATCATATGTGTTCAATGAAACGCTTAACTCAGACAATGCATCTTTGTTCTCCAATGCCTCCTACATTTTAACCCCATTGGTATTCATATCTAGGGATTATTGGAACACCAAAACTCCTGGCACTTACCATTGCATTTGTTGCGACACTCCACTATTCGAGTAAGCATTTTACTTTTATGAGAAGGGTTTATATTTTATATAACATTGTGTTAGGCGGATGAACTCTGATAGTGATTAGTAATAATTATTGCATATTCCAGATCGTCTACCAAGTTTGACAGTGGAACGGGGTGGCCCTCGTATTACCAGCCCATTGGGAACAATGTGAAATCGAAGTTAGACTTATCGGTCATTTTCATGCCTCGCCAGGAGGTTCTGTGTGCAATCTGTGATGCTCATCTTGGTCACGTATTCGATGATGGCCCTGCCCCTACCGGAAAACGTTACTGCATCAATAGGTATGGTTTGGCATTTTGAGATGTGTCGTAGTGCTAAATCAGGCAATGCATATACACTGTTTAACTTAACAGATTTCTCCGATGTTTTTGTAGTGCGGCCTTGAAACTGAAACCAAACTAGAGAAGGAACCATCAGCAACTATGGAGAGGATTGTGTGGTGCATTTGAATACTTTTCTCTGTGATGGTGACTTCATATAAATCATTATGTTATTTCAGTATATGTATGCAAAATTAACTGTGTTGGTGTAAAATTCCTAGTATCTCTATGAGTCTATGTTAAATTCGACTCCTACATAGGTATTCCTAAGTGTCTATTCTTTTAGAACGTGATTGACTAGAGTTAAACTGAACTCGATTTAACTGAAGTTAAAGCTAGCTCTATTTTTAACAAAAAAACAGCCAACTTAAACTTGACTGAAAACAGTGAGCATTTTTCACAAACGAGTTACAACTTACCTATTTTTTTTATACTCATTCCATCCATATCTTTTATAATATACACTTTTAAAATTTTTTTTGTATTTAAAGTTACTCCCTCCCTCCGTCCCAAATTATAATGCCTGTTTACTATTCACATGGTCAAACTTCATTCACTTTCTTTCTCTATTTTCGTTAGCAATTTGATAAAATAAAATATTATTGTCACTATTAGTTTTGTAGATCTTTTGATGTAGTTTTTTAATATGTAATTTTTATTTTTTAATTCTATACCATTTGTCATATAAAATGGTTTGAAAATAATTCCAGTCAAACATCGTAAACTGAAACAGGCATTATAAAATGGGACGGAGGTAGTATTTATTTATAATACTACCTCCGTCCCGCTATATTCGTCCACTTTTGACTTTTGGAACTGTTCATCTAAGTACTTTGACTCATCAAATTCTCTCAATGTATAAGCCTAAATATAGTCATGCGTGATCTTGTTTGATTTGTCTTAACATATAGACTATTAATATATAATTTCTATAATTTTTTAATATACAAATTACAAGATAAAATGGATTAAAGAAAAGTATTAGATGGTGTGCAAAAATGAAAGTGGACAAATATAGTGAGACGGAGGGAGTAATTATTTTTAATTCATCCTTTAGTTATAAAGTGATTAAATTGGAGCACTCCACTTCAGAGAGGGCAGCCATTTTGGAAAATGGAAAAAAGAGGCAAATGGATATGAAGATTTGGATAGTGAGAGCTGCAATTTTTGAGGAGAGCACCGAGTTTGGAATTCACGGATCAGAGCAGAGCAAATTCAGAATGGTGGATGGAAAACAAATAAAAATGAAAGGGGAAGAGTGAAAAGTGGATCCAATAGGTGAGAGAAAATATTTTTATTATTATTTGCACTATATACATCATCGTGTAGAAATATGACTCGAGAGTGCTTTGTGCACTATAGTGTTTTTTAGTATTGGGTTTACACAATTAATTGGAATAGGATAAAATGATTTCATCTTGGATAAAGGGTATATTTAACAATATACCGTATGCGTTGGAGTTGCTCTTAGAGCATCTCCAACTACACTTGCTAAACATGACTTGCTAAAGTTATTTTTTAGCATGTGAATAGTGGTATAGCAAGCCATTTTACATTGTCATCTCCAACCTCCCCTTGCTATAATTTAGCTAACAATTATATTATATTTTTTTCACTATTATAATACTTTCCTTATAATAATTATTCAATTATTATTTATATTATAAAAATTAAATAATAATTATGTAATTTAAAAATAATAATTTCGAAAAACAAAACGGAGTAATATTTTACTTTAGGGAAAATAATAAAATATAAAGAGCATTTTTTTAAATATTTAATAAATACCAATTAAAGAGTAGTGAAAAGAACTTTACAAAAAGTAAAAAAAATTAGAGAGTTGAAGTAACTAAATATTTTGAGAAGGAGAATGAGAGAAAATAAGAAAGAAATCAAATATTTAATCAATATCATGGTTGCTATATTTTGAGAGGCTTGTTATATATGACAAGCCGAAGTTAAAATTTACCAAGTGTTTTATAATATAGCAAGCCCCTTGGAGCACAAAAATTGAAATAAATTGCCAAATAATGACATTTAACAAGTCAAAACTCAATGATTGGAGATGCTCTTAGTATCTACATATGGTACGGTGGTGATAATGGCATTCTCCTACCCAACATGTACATAATAATAGCAAAATATCACCGCTTCACTTATATATTTCCTCTGTCTTGAGATTAATTATAATTTTTTTTAGACTTAGCTCTCGATAACTTTTTGATACGTACATTTTGTTAATTATTCTTATACTAATTTTTAAATAAATTAATTTTAAAAATGTAAAATTTTGCCTTGATTCCCTTGGAAATGAGAAACTATAATCTAATTTAGGACAGTGAGAGTATTAAGTACTTGGTGATGTGAAAGAATGATCTTAGTTGTCTTTTCTCTCTCTCTCTCATTTTCGAGATCCAAGAATTTACCAGCATCGCTTGGGAAGACATAAATAGAAACGATACAATGTCTAAGTCTAGCCAACATGACTTAAATCATACGGAGTACAAATAGCTTTTAAGCCTTTTTTTCATTTTAATTAGAGTACATGCTTGTTTGAGATGGAATTTATTACGTTTTGTCATTTCGAATTGCCTTTAAAAAAATCTGGGGGTGGTGGCACCGGACTCCCGTAGTGTACTCTCGCCCCCTCTCACTTGTATTCCTAGAAGCGCCGCCTTATTTTCAGGGTTTTGCAAGGAAGGAAAGGAGAAGAGAAAGGAGGGAGGTTTTAGAAGAAAAAAAAAAGATTTTCATGCAAGTGCTTTGATATAACATTGTTATACATATAATCAACCTTTTGACATTAAAATTTGGAGCAATGGATTTCGAGGGCAATAAGCTACCTACTTACTCCCTTACACGTCTGGATTCCGAGAGGAAAAGAAAAAAAAGGGTATTTTGCAACTTATCATGGCCTTTTCTTAAGTGCTACTTCCAATCCATTCGCAACCGATGCTTTCAAGGATGGAGAAACCGGATTGCTTCCAAGAAAAACATCAAAGAGGGCTGACGTAACGTTTGCTGATTCAATCTTAGCATCGACTGAAGAAGGGGTTGCATCAGATGAAGATGACACACAAACCTGCATATTGCAGTGTAAAGTCTCAGGGTTAATTAACAAGAAATGGCATGGATGAGGCATATATATATACTCACAAGAATTTGGGCCGAGTTAATCCACGCCAATACTATGGAGGTTCCCTTCTTTAGAGGCCTCCCTCCCAAGATGCTACGAAAAGTGGAAAGGGCAGTTTCGTCATCCGGAGAAGGTGATTTGATTCTTGGAGAAATGGCTTCATTCAATGAATCCCAGAACGTTTTACCATCAACATCTCTCACTAAAACAATGCTTATGGATTTCTCCATAGGAACTGCAGATACAATTCATCAATTTCCAAGGCCCAGTTTCACACTCTTTTTACACTGTTTTGAAAAGTGTGAGATGCTTAACATGAAAGATGACAAATCCCACTTTTAAATCAAATCAAATCAAACCTTAATTACCTTTGAATATGGTCTCAAACAAGAAGGAATCCTTCATCATCTCGGCTGCCGAGCGTCCTCTCCACGCATCTAACTTACCAAAGATGGATTCATTGACATGTAGCCCCACAGCATAGACCTTAACGCCTATTAACGCAAACACTTTTTCCCTATATCCTACGAAGGCACACAAGTGGAAACCGAAATGTCTATCACGAATTTGGCAAAACTTAATGAGTCACTGTTAGAAAACTTGTTCAAAGGCAGCATTCTAGCAGCTAACCTGTCCCAACCAAAGACAAAGATTCTGAGCAACCTGGGATGCTCAATGATGTTTGGAATTTTACTTTGGTTGCTGGTTCCTGCCTGTAATCTGCATTTCCTACTGAAACAAAGATCAAATCATCAAAGATCCTATAAATAATAATAAGACCAACAACAAATAGCTATACAACAGCTAGTCATATAAGCTTCAATCTAAAACAAGACAGGTGAGAACCTCCACATCTATGGCAGATACTCTATCTAGATTTAGTTTAAAAAAATTCAAAATAAGATAAAAACCTTGAAATTGGCATATCCTTTATTGATGTGATAAGCGTACAATTAATTCCAGATGCCGCAATGAAAAACAAAATCCGGATGAAGGGAATACAACAACAATTGAGGGTTTCATAATAGTTCATCTTATTTGGCGGAGGGTAAAGGAAATCTATGGTTAATGCATGTAACTCAAATACTACTAAATGAGCATTTGTACTAACTAATGAAAAGAAAATTCACCAGAAGAAGATGAAGCAGATATCGGACTGGTAAGACTGAAACCAGAAGGAAATGTGGGGAAGAAATTGGAAAAACTATGGGATTTGATCAGAGGAAGTGAAAGTCTGGATTTGACATTGGAAAATGTGGCTGTGGATTTTGTAGGCGCTGAAAGGGAAGAAGCCCAAAATGAAGCAGGCATTGACGCAACTGCAGCCATGTTCTTGTTCTGGAGTTTTGAATGTCAGCCCCAATTTCTCTTAAAATTTTCTCTTGGGAGTGAGGAATACGTAGTCTAGCACTCTCTGAACATCTTTAAGAAATTACTCGGTAGTAGATATACCCTCCTCGGTGACCATTTAATTGTGTGGAAACTAATTGTTGACTTTCAATCCATAACATGGTCTTCTTTCAAATTAATGATTTTTTTTATTAAAATTATTTTCAATTTTATTTTCTTTAATTTTTGTTACAGATGTTAAAAATAAATTTTAAAGATTTACAACAGGACGGTTCTCACTTCTCATGACATTGCCCGACAATGTCATGGGATGACCCAGGGCACTCCGGTGTCCCGTTCGTAAAATTGACGGTTCCTACCCCCTAACCATCCGGCAAACACCCCATCTCGCCTCGATCTGAACACAACCCTCATCTTCTTCAATTGCACCCTGCAAGTTAATTTTTATTTTGGAGCGTCCTCGGGTCATCACATGACATGTGGTTTCAATGTCATGGGAACCCCAATTTATAAATTGTATCAAAAAACTTTATAAAATATGAGTAATGAGAGATTTATTAATTAAAAAAGTATTGCATTTTAAAAATCATCGTAAATCGAAACAAGTAATTTAAATTAAGACAGAGGGAATAAAATAATACTCCGTATAACCATGTCACCATTAATTTTGAAAATTTTTGAGATAATTTTTTAATATATAAATTTTATTTTTTAATTTTATCGCAATTTTCATATAAATTTATTTAAAATTAACATTAGTCAAATATTATGAGCAACACGAGATACCTTGACACGTGCGCAACACGTGGGCTTTAACTGGCGTCAAAGCATGGAAGGATTGGAAGCTGACTGGCGACTCCGTTTTCTGTGATCTTCACACTCCCGCGACGCCGTTATCCGAAAGGAACATATAAATTCCAGGCCGACTGTTTTACTCCAAATATAAAACGACGCGCAATTCGTGGTGTTGTGTAAAGGATATGAAATAGCCGGGTCGGAAACTTCTCCCGGGTCTATTGTTCTTTCGGATCAGAAATTCCGTTTATATAGACATTTAAGGAAAAAAAAAACTTAACAGTTTCAAGAATGGGCCGTGGTGCTACAGAAAGTACATTGATTCATCACGTTGTTATAGTGCTTCTCCTTCTATGGCTGCTCAATTCCTTGAATTGGTGTCACCCTTTTGCTTATTTTATCTCCATAGCTTATATCTATTGGGTAAGCATAATTACTCGCACATCTTTTTTGTTAATATACATATTTTCTATGTTTTTTTTGTTTTAATTACTGATTTTGATGATCATTTGTTGGAGGTTCATGAGAGCTATGTGAGTAGATTGAGGAAGAGATTGCAGTTTGAGGAAAAAAAGCAGTCGTATCAAAGACGGGTTAATCTCTCTCACTTTCTCTCTGTGATTTCTCGTAAGGCTTTGATTTTTAAAGGTAATGGGAAGTCAAGGTTTACAAAATCTCTCAAATTCATCAAACTTGAATTGGGTTTGATTTTCTTTCGATGTGGCACTGTTTGTTGAGATCAGGATGGGATTTGCAGTGGAATTTGATTATTCGATGCCTGTTTTAAGGAGTTTCTGATTTTGCTCTTGGTTTTCTCCAGCTGCTTTCTGATTCAGAAAGTGTAAGATGGTTGAATCATGTGTTAGAGAAGATCTGGCCTGTTTGTATGGAGGAAATTGTCTCTCAGAAAATTCTCCTTCCCATCATACCATGGTTTATGCAAAAATATAAACCCTGGACAGTGGTAAGGCTTGACTAAGTTGCTAACTTCTCATATTTGTTGTTTCCATCTGAAATTAATTCTCCACCATTTAGGCCGTGTTTGGTTGGAAGGGAGGGGAGGGAATCATTTTCCCTCCCATCATTTGGGTCAAAGCATTTTTAGGGCGAGTCACAAATTTCTCCCCTCCTCTCAACATTTGGAGGGAGTGAGGGGATTTCGCTGGATCCACCACCCTAGAAAAGATTTGAACCAAATAAGGGCAGAGAATATCCCATCTCCTCCAACCAAGCACACCCTTAGTTTGTGCTTTTGAGCTTCATCTAAAGCTTATGTGGTCTTTCGATTTTGATGAGTATCATGTTGTTACATAAATATATACTCTGTAATTGTTATGAACGTAATAACATAGACTTGTTTCTGTTGCAGAAAAGTGTTGTTGTCCAGCATTTGTACTTAGGGAGATGCCCGCCTTTGTTCACTGAAATGAGAGTTCTTCAGAACTCCACCGGAGATGATCACTTGGTATGTTACCTTCCTTTTGGGCATTGTGATTTAACCGGAGTAAAAATTTCCCTCAGTAATGGAGAGTCCAAATATGAATGAATCTTTGATGAAACTAATAAATTGTGTCTGCCCGAAGTAAAAACTATGCTTAGAAATGCTATCCTAATACTCAACTTGAGATAGAAAGATGTTTATCAAGCTCAGATGTCGGAATTTCAAATTAAAGGTTTTGCCCAATGCCCATTTAACTCATAAATCATAAAAGATTATCGTATTTATCTCTTCAAAGTTCTTTTGTTGAATTTTTTTTGTAAGAACTTCAAAAGTTAGTTTCTTTGTTTATCATTTTTCTGTTTAACTCTTTTATCTTCATTTGCATTTGCAGCTTAAGTCTTGGTAATGCTAAGTTCTTTAACACTATGTTTGGTTCAAGGAATATGAAAGGGAAAAGAAAAGAAAATGAAGTGGAAAATATGTTTTCTGTTTGGTTAGAGAGGAAAAGAAAGGAAAAGTGGAAAGAAAAGAAAATGAGAAGGCAAAATATACTAAGAGGAGGAAAAACCAGATTCTTCTCATTTTGGTGAGGAAAATGAGAGAAAATAATTTTCTTTTCTTTTCCTTCCAAATTCCTTAAACCAAACATAGTGTAAATGTACTCGTATTATATTAAAAGTTCTTGGGGATCTGTCAAAAAAATACTTGTTCAATAAATACAAAAGTATACAGTTTATAATTGATGGAAACTCAAAGGTAAGGAATAAAATATAACTTTGGCCAGCATTGAAGTAACATTAAAGTGATGAAGTTCACTTAAAATGTAAGCAGACCTCTGGATGATTCATATAATTACTATATGATATGTGAAGTAATAAATGAACTTGTATAAAATTTTGGGGGGGGGGGATCTCCCCCGTCTCCATCACTAACTCAGCACCAAAAGAAGCCCTGCAGTTGAGTCATGGCCATATATGTTATAAGCTGCTCCACCATGACATATATATTCATTTTCAATGTTAAACTTCAGTACATATTCAATGCAGGCCTTGGAGTTGGGAATGAACTTCTGCACAGAGGATATGAATGCAGTTCTAGCTGCAAAACTGAAGAAAAGATTGGGTTTTGGGATGTGGGCAAAATTACACTTGTTAGGCATGCATGTTGAAGGGAAGGCAAGCTACCAAAAAACTTGTTTCTCAACCATAATAATTGCAATAGTAATGTTTATCGAGGCTGTACTCGTAAAATGTAGGTTTTGGTAGGTGTGAAGTTTCTCTCCCAGTGGCCATTTCTTGATCGTTTAAGGGTTTGCTTTGCTGAGCCACCTTATTTTCAGATGACTGTGAAACCTATATTCTCTCATGGACTAGATGTTACAGAAGTCCCAGGGATTGCTGGATGGCTGGTTAGTGCATTTATGGTGTCACTTCTCTGTGTTTCATTTCAGTTTATGTGTATTTGTAGTGCATATTTATTTAGTTTCCTTTTTTCATTAGGACAAACTTTTGGCCCTTGCTTTTGAGCAGACTCTTGTTGAGGTAATTCATGATTTATGCAATGGTTTCTCTCTGCTTTTCCCTTAGTATATTCCTTCCTCTGGCATGATTGTGAGAACAGTGGCAAATTTTACGTACCTTTTTTCTTTTCTGCACTAAATGTGCTTTAATATGTTAGGGCGCTATGTGATTCAAATAATTTAAGATCAATTACATCCTCCATTCTTTTGCAGCCAAACATGCTAGTTGTTGATGTAAAGAAATTTGCGTCTCCACAACCAGGTACAAGCTGCTACTTGCTCTATGTGGCCCACTTTTTCCCCCTCTTTTTTGAAGTTGGGTGAGATGGTGGACACACTATTATCTCTTGTACATAGTTATTGAGCTAGTTACATTGATGTGCATAAAGTTAAATCCATTTTTTTCCTAGATCATTGAATAGTGCATCAATATTATTAGCATACAAATGTATATGGAGGCTAGCAGGTGACGTTAGTAAGTTGCCACTGGCTAGACTGAAAGAAAAATAAGAAAAACTAGTAACTGAATAAGAAGAAAGAAATTGATTTTGTAATAAATATACTTATCTTAAGGAGTACAATACATGCGTGTATATAGGAAGAAAAGCAGAGAAATTAGGATCCTATGGTGTGAATATGAGTTTTGTGTCCACTTGGATAAGCTGTGAAGTGTTATAAAGTGTCACTGTATCTTAACATTTCAATACCCCCTCAAGCTAAACCTTAATATGCTTTTAACTTGATACAACTAAAATATTCATTTATTTCATTAACCCTCTTCCACTAGATAGAAAATACACAAGTTGAGATCCAAAAAAATTGCATGAGAGTCAACTCAGGATGCTGGTGAGGAGGCAGAGAAGATTGCTTCAAAGAACATAGCCATATAGCTAGAATGAACTTCAGCATGAAAGATGTATCTTGACTAACATAGCAAGGCTTGACTTTCTCAAAACCACATTTTTGGAAGCTTTAGACGAAAATCATCATTGTTGCTGTGACATGATTTCTCTTAGAAGTAACATGGGAGGGAATATCACATGGTGTACTTGCTAACTTGTAAGTTCTTAAGAAATAAAGCATCTCAATGAATACCAGTCAGATTACCTTACCTAGAAAATCTAACATGGGAGCTACTCTTTTGCAAAAGAGTGATTCTCCAATGATGAAAGACTTTTTTCCCTTGGATCATTTGGATCTTGCAGAAGCTGTGTTGAGTCAGAAGCTCAAGTTATGGTTGTGGCCCAGGAAAAGTTTTTAATACCCCCCACATGCAGGCGTGACTTTTTTGAACCTTGCACATGAAACCTTGATTTTTTTAAGCTGGGTGGCGGTGAGTTTCGAACTCGTGACGTCCTATCAATAAGGTTTTGATACCATGTCAAAGGACCAACTCAACCACGTGCTGAAGCTTATGGTTGTGGCCATATACTCTAACATAGCTAAATTAACACTACCAGTTTTAGAACTGCACTTCCACCATCCATATTAAAATGCACATACTGGTAACTCATAAAACAAAGGTGGTTAATAAGTTAAATTATCTAGTGCACAAGAAAGCGAAGTACAGCTGCGGGCAAAGGAATTGAGGAAATCTTACAATAAGTGCAAAGCGCAAATTGTTCTATCTTCTAAGAAGCAAAACAAATTGTCAAATGCCACTTCTGGTATGTGAAAATTAATCTAACTGTGTTTAACAGTGTACAAACGGTACAATAGTTCAGATAATCAAAATATATAATTAATACTATATTTGAGAAGAAGAAAACATTTGAGAGGCTACGAGAAAAAAACAGAATAAATAACAAAGAAGAAAGATAAAGTAGAAAAAAAGATAGTAAAAAAGAAGATGCAAGGACCAAAAGGAATAACAGAATACGATTAAGAACAAGAAAGTTACCTGTCTATCTTTCACTTCTGTTCATTGCTGTCAACGTGTGAAGAGACTTGAGCTGCGAGCGAAGACAAGATATTATGATTGTATGACACTTAATAGAAATGATTGTTTCCTGTTTTTAAAATCCCTATTTTTAATAAGTTGATTTCTAAATTCTAATACTCCCTCCATCTAGATTTAGCTGTTCGCTTTCTAAAGAATCTCATTTTTTAGGAAATGAGCTTAAAATGTCAAATAATGAGCTGTCACTCTTTCATGTCAACAATGCTCATATATCTGAGATAGTTTAGGCAATTTATCAAAGTTATTTATTGAATATGGAAAGTTGACAAGTTATTCCTCACAAATGGAAGCAAGAAAGTGGACCTCTAAAACCGGGCAGAGGAGTATAAGTGTTGGTGCCTTAAAATAAGGCCCAAGGAGAAAATTCTCTTTGATTAAAAAACTTTTCGCTGATTAAAATACGGTGTGCCTTAGCATTCGCTGTGCCTTGCCTTGGGTGCGCCTGACAAAGGCCTGTGGGCTTGCTATGTTGCCCTTTTTTCTGTGGTCTTCAGAAAGTTGGTTCTCTGTTGATGCTAAGGAAACCATTGCTCATGTTCTTGTGCAAGTTTTTGAGGCTGCTGACTTGAAGCCATCGGATCTTAATGGTTAGCTCTATATAACTAAGAGTGAACTTAATTTGAAAACAAAATGTCTGGTAACCTTACTAACCCTTAGCATGGATCTTTTTCAGGATTAGCTGATCCGTACCTGAAGGGAAGCCTTGGGCCTTACAGATTCAGGACCAAGACACATAAGAAGACACTGAATCCAAAGTGGCAAGAGGAATTCAAAATCCCGGTCTGCTCCTGGGAGTCACCTAATGATGAACTCAAGATTGAAGTTTTGGATAAAGATCACTTTGTGGATGATTCATTAGGGTGTGTTGTCTTCACCCTTATATTGTGCTTTACACATCTTCATTTTTTATTTGCAGAATTTCTAATTGTATGCTTTACACTTGACAAATATTCCAAGCTAAACTACCCCAATATGGTGTACTATTTGTTTAATCACGTGCTGATAGATAGCCAACGTGTTTTCCTTATAGAAATCTTTCTCGATATGGTTTGTCTACATTTGGTCTGTTCAAGATTAATGGTTTTATATTAGAATTGGTATTAGTTTAGTTCTTTGGTTTTAGTTTTGTTTTTTTTAACTTATCCCCATGAGCAAATAATAACAAGTTTCTTTTGCAGAGAATGCTCCATAAAAATAACGGACTATAGGGACGGACAGAGGCATGATATCTGGTTGCCTCTTCAGAATATCAAAATGGGGAGGCTGCATCTTGCAATAACTGTGATTGAGAAAAAGGTACTTTTTTAAAATACTCTGTGATTGACAAAAAGGTACTTCAGAATACCCAACATAAACTTCATATTTCTTTTTCCATCCATCCCAAAATAAACTTCACATTTTGTTTTTCCATCGGTCCCAAAAAACACTTCACACCTCCTTCTTTCAATGTGTCACAAGTTTTCTCGCTCCTCTAAACAAATTTCAATTACACGCTTGTTACTTTTCAACACTTTCCATAAAGTTTATTTCGAGATGGAGGGAGTAGGTCAGACAAAGACTTTAAAAGCTTTAAATCATCACACTAGAACTCATTGTTTGCACAACCAAATTTAGAACATTTTAGTGATGCAGACATGCAGTATGTTAATGTTTTATTTCAATCACGTGTTGAACTAACCTCTCATTTGGTGTGGATGAGGGATTATATAGGAAAATGAGTATACTTTCTTTGGGGAAAGAATGTACAGGGAATACCTTTTCCATGGTTTGGTGGGAGTAAAATTGTTAGGAACCCTTAGGGACCATTCTCTTTGCATGAAAAAATGTGACATGTGGTTGGCCTCATCTGTTTAATTTACTTGATTACAAGCCTGTTCTTTTGGACTAAAACTTTTAACTTCCACCTTCTTCTAGTTTCTTCAAGTTTTTTTTTTTTTTTTTTCAGTTTCTTCCAGTTTCTTTTAAATTTTTCCAGTTCCTCCTAGTTTTTCTAGATCCTTCCAGTTCTTTCAGTATTTTCCATTTTTCCAGTTCCCTCATGTTTTTTCCATCTATTCCCATTTTCTCCAAAAAAAAACATTGCAATTTGCGTTTTACTGAACTTATTTTCAATTCAATTTATGTTAATATTCGTGAAAATCTAAAATTTAAATTATATATTTGAAAACAACATCAAAAAATCTAAAAAATAATACGGAGTAGGTGATATGACTACATTATTTTCTTTTGTGTATCAATTTATATTTCTCGTTCTTGATAAATTTTTGAAGTCTTACACAAAATTCCAATATTATTGTACATTCAATATATACTTTTTTCTAGAGTTATATGCATAAATAGTCCATGTGATCTTCCATAAGTAGGTAAATAGTCCTTGTACTTTTAAAAATTGTAAAATAGTCCCTTTGGTCAATGAATTGGTGCATATTTAATCCTTTTAGGAAAATGTGAAGCACACAGAAGACATGCGTATTGTGTGAAAATGTGAAGCATGTAAAAAAATGAAGTTAATTTGATAAAACTACCCTCATCTTTCTGGTTAAAGGCAAGGAATGGTCTTTTTCCAGCTATTATATCACACGATATTATCCTAGAATAAAGTTACTTGAAAAACAGAAAAGTGTCAAACTCTCATAGAACATTGTTCTACGATTCAAGAATATCACTGTTGAAGATATAAAGAAATTATTGTGATAGTTAAACTAGAAGATGGAAGAAATTTTACTACGGTTCAAACTAACACATCACAAATTATATTTCAAATTATTTTTTTTATTGTTACACGATTCACATCATTGCAAAATATGCACGTGTTATGCACATTTCACGAATTCTTTAGAGGGACTAATTTTGCAATGATTCTTTGACCACAAGGACTATTTTACAACTTTTAAAAGTTCGATGGCTATTTACCTACTTATAAAAGACCACAAGGACTATTCATGCATTTAACTCTTTTTTATCAATAAGTAAATTCTGATATACATATAATTTGCTTAATTATTCAACAATATTTAAAAATATTAGACGAAAATAATTTAGTTACGTATAAAAGGAAAGAAAAACTAGATATGGACACATTATATGACGGTCTGACTTTATATTCTTTTATAATAAATATTGCATAAATAAATTGAGGTGTAACAACTAAATAAATTGTTAAAATTTAACATTTTAATATTTTATCCTAACTTTATAATACTAATTTTAATTTATTTTGCAGAAGTAGCAAATGTTTTTAGAATAAATTATGACATCAATTTATTTTTTATTATCTTATAGACACTGATTAGCATAACGATGATTATGAATATAATAATAATAATTCTAATAATAATAATAATTTAATAATAACAATAATAGTAAAAATGATGATAATAATAATATTAATATTAATAATACTAATAGTAATAATAATAATAGTAATGTTAATAATAATAATAACAATAACTATTGTCATTAGAGTAACATGAAAAATAGACTTAAATAATTTTTTAAAGTTTCTTCTAGTTTTTTTTTACAGTTCTTTCTAGTTTCTAAAGAACAAGCTCTACATTTGGTTTGATCTATTTTTTTGGTCAGGTCAGATTTGAATTTTTCCGTGTGTCCCAAAATTCTTCTCGTGTCTTTTTTTAATGAATGAAATTCGTGGTTCATACTCCGTATTTGATATTCTTCTTTTACATAAGATTTATTTTTTTGATTTCTGTTCTGAATTTTCTTCCTTGATTATGATTTGATTAAACAAAATTATTTTCTCACTGTATTTTAAAATAGGGCTTAAACTTTTTTTCATTAGACAAAGGGTTTAAAAACAATATTTTTTTCATCCTTTCCCTCAGTATGCCAAAGCTTACCATATAGTCGATGTAATTTCATTCCTACATTCGAAACACTACAATTTAAACTCCTTTCCTTCTATATTCATCTTCATTGGCCAACCAGTTGGCATCAATCAAATTTTGGATAATTTGTTATTAGTTTGAGAAGAAACATGCAATAGAAATTTTTTCCTTTAAACCAAACAGGCTGATGATGTTGTATCTCTAAGGCTTATATGGTTAAGCAGGATGCAGAACAAATGTATGACGAAGAAACTCTTGTTGATAAAGACTACGTGGATTCCTTTGAGAATGATGCAGCCGAGGCAGGCTCCTCACCTGAATTACCTGAAAAATCCCCCAAAGTTGGGGACAAATACGAGCCCATCGATATTGAAGGGAAACAAGAGACTGGGGTGTGGGTCCATCACCCGGGGGTTGAAATCGCACAAGTCTGGGAGCCAAGGAAGGGTAAAGGTAGGATGATTGATGGAGAGGACTCAGATTCTATGAGGAGTTTCAAGTCAAAAACACCCGGATCACCTCATAGTGATGACAATGAGACCGGGCAGTCAACTAATAGATTCCGTAGGGGCTTGAGTAAAATCAGTTCAATGTTTCAAAAGGGTCCCATAAATCACGACAAATACGACACCCTTGGTGAGCCATCCACACCTCCACATGTGAATCTCAAGGCAGTAAATGCGAAGCAAATCGGTGTACAATTTGTGGTGGACGATACGGACCCTGCCCAATCCCCCACAAGACCAAAAGAAGATGGTAAAGAATCACTGGAGGATGATGAACAAGACGGTCCAAGTACTAAAGAGAAAATGAAAGACAGGGCGAAGAACATGTTGAAGCATGTGGGAAAATCTGCTCATGGTGGCATAAAACATGTCCTTTCTCATAAAGGATCAAGAAAATCGAAATATGAGCCAGAGTTATCTGGTACAGATTCTTCGGACGAGTCATTTGTTGGTACCACACAACAAGCTGCAGCAGTTCAACGTGCTCATCGAATATCTGATTCTGGTAGTGATTATATAACAGAGACTTCAAATGCAAAGGAAGAGAACCCCCTTCCAGGGGATCTAATCCAGATGGATTTAGCAGCTTCTCATGGTCCTAAAACTCCGTTGGCAAACGTTGCAGATGAATGAGGCAATCAAGACAGATGAATGCATAGGGATGGTTTCTTGTGTACCTTAAAAGCAGTTGGAGAGTAAAAGTTGTTTTACTTGTTTACTGTACATTCTCCTCGCATACTATAAACTACAGCAATACTATGTGGTCTTGAGTTGCCCATGTAATAGTTCTCATGTTTGTAAAATCCAAAGGTATATGTCCAAGAACTATGTGCACATGTTTGCTTTCCGGGGCTTTTTGAATCTCCTGGCATACTATTACTACACCAAAACTATGTTGTCTTTGCCCATATACACTAAATCCAAATGTACATCTCCAAGGACTATGCGCATTTGGGGGGGGGGGGGGGG